CATAACTTGTACAATTTACTGGGTTACAAGTTTTAGCGTGAATTTGAGAATTATGTATTTTCTTCAACCAATACATTTGGAGTCTAATACTGACAAAATCTGTTAATTAATTATATTGAATTAATTTTAATTATTTCTGGGTTGGTGTCAAACCTAGACGGAATATGTATGCAAAATATTTTCATTCTTCTGGTGAGGGCAGATTTTCAATTTTTGCAAGTGCCAATTTGTCAAGAAATATTTTTTAACGAAACTTTTCGTTTTGTACGGATCTATTTTCATAAAGGGTAGAAAAGCATAGCATGCAATTTTAGAATTCAGGAATTTTACCAAAATAAGTGATTAAAATGTGCTTTAATTTTTTCCCACAACTATGGAGCCAAATGTAAAATTTGTGAAACTTTGAGTATAAAAAAATGAGATTAGATTCTTCGAATGACCGCTGGCGTACTAAAAAATGGTCATAAAAAAACTTACGAAAATCTTCACTTCACAAATTAAGCTACATATATATTTAACTATAAGGCATTTCACGTAGTACTTTGTAATTTTGCAAAATCCGTAAACTTTTACTCATATTTAGAATGAAAATTACATAGCTCCCAAATTTTTGTAAACTTGCTCAGATCAAGGGCATCTCTTTTATTTTATAGACGTCTGCTTAATTATTTTACAAAATTTACAGATTTTACAAAATTACCAACCCCTACGTGAATTGCCTCTATATACATACATTTCATAAATCAGGCAGCACGAGGACACAAATTTGTTCCGCTTATTTATAAACCAAATCCACATCTACGTGGTCAACTTAACGTTTTTGGGGTTTTCTGTCCATCACATAATAACATTTTACGACTTGTTTCACCCGAAATAAAACGGTCCTATGGTCACCAAATCCAATCCAGAGTCCACTCGCTTGACCATTCCCGTTGTTGAATTGGCCCAATAAATAATTCCTCTAAAAATCCCTTGCATTTTGTGTAAGCTTGGCTTTGTAAATTTAGTTGCCTGGCTGCCCTACTGACTGACTGACTGACAATCAAATCCAGTCACCATAACGTGAGGGATGGTCAACACTTTTGTTTGAAGGACACGTAAACACTTTTACAAGTTTACAGTTCCACTTTATTGGTCAAGTTCCGTTCAATAAGAGTAAATAAATGTAGCTACGTTTGAGTTTCAGTTTCTTGAAAACCTTGAAATGTGAAATCAAAAATAAAAGCGAAAACAAACATAAATAAAGAAGAAGAAAAAAGGGAAGTTCAAGGTTGATGAAAGTCGTAATTTTGTCCATTTTTACGCCATAATTTAATTTTAGAAGTACGCACAATCTTTTTAGTAATTAAGATTTGCTCTAAAGAAATGTTCAATTTCCGGTTTTGCATTATAAAAAAAATATTTTTGTAAAAACTCAGGACTCCTCAGTTCTAAATTTGTCTCAAAACCCGGTTTTGGATCTCAAATTGAATTTTTTATTATTGAGATAAGACTTAATTGTTCCAAAATATGTTTATTCCTAACTTCATATTTAATTCTAATTCTGTTTTAAATTTGAGCTTACTATTTTTTTAACGTTTGTCCAATTTGACGTCATAATTGAATTTAGTGTTTTATTAGTAACTTAAATTTCGCCGGAGATATTTGAATAAAAATGTATTATTCGACTCGTATACTTATTCAGGTTAAATTTACCATCTTTTTTGTAATTTTCCCAGAATTTGAAGAAGGTTAGTAATTTAATAAATTCATATATATAAATTTGAATTTTAAAAATTAACTCTCGCATATTAATTAGTGCGATGAAATTTTATAGACTTGGTTAAAAAATTGGTAATTTTCCATTGTTAATTTCTCGTATCATGTGCCCACCAAATGTTTGCATTGTTTGATCTTAAAAAATTGTTTACTATATGTGATTCTGCAAAAATAAAATTATCGGGATAAAATGTACCGAAAAATATACTTACAATTTTTTAAAATGTTCAGCATAAGGATAAAAAATCGTTTTCTAAAATTACAAAATGTTTCAAGCCCGTTAAAATTATGGAGGTTTATTTCTTATTTATCTCATTTATTTTCTCTAATAAAATAAATTTCAAAATAAATTTCAAATTCATGAAGCAATTTAAAGTAAAAATTTGTATTCTAAAAATTCATTTTTATCTACAGATATTTTTACTCATCGTACAATATTAGGTTTTACATACTTCTCTTCTTGATTGATAAGTTACAAATTATGGGAAAATGGCAAATTATTCTAAATAAAAATTTTTTCAAAAAAAGGCTGAAAATTGCGTTTGCAAAAATTGTAAGAACTCTGTCAATTTATCAGCTCGTCCTTAACAAATAAAAATCACATTCTGCAGGGTACAGTGTAGCTTCTAGGTCGCTTTGCATAAGAAATCTAAGGTTCGGTCAAAGGTCGTATTTATTTTCCCATTCTGCATATTCGTTGATCGTTGATTGTTCAAATTCAATACGGGTTCCGGGTAACGACGAACGAATCTGTGTATAAACCCTGCGTATAAAATTTTCCTTAGTACAAAGTGCGGCGACAAAGTCTACCAAGACATTTACGATTTCCTAAAAAAACATATTTACCAATCTCATCAAGCCCATAATAATCTCGTTTTTACCAAAATTACACAACATATTAAACCATTGAGGTTCTACAGTGACCGCGGAAGCTGTGGGGACATAGGGGGACATAAACATTATGGGAGGGAGGAGGGGTTTATACATATAACATGTGCAGATAATGGGGACTTCGAATAACCAGGAGGACATTGCCCCCCTGTCCCCACCAGCGCTTCCGCGGCCACTGTTGCTCCAGGCAGACAAAGACCCTCTGTCAGCATAATAAGCTGGCTAATTTGCATAAGAAGTTCATACGCTATGATTTTTACTCGTACACTCTTAATTTCTAGTACCAAAAAATACCCAAATTCGTAGAAATTGGTAAAAATTCTCGTCAAAAGCAATACCTATCATTTTTTCTATTTTATCCGAAAAGTTGTGAAGCCCAAACTATTTTTTTCAATCTGACAAACTTTAAAAAAAAGTATGATTCCGCTAAATAAAAATTATGGCGATAAAGTCTACCAAAAAAATTTACAATTTCGTAAAAATAAACACCAATCTCATAAAGGCCATGCTACAAAAATTTTTATCAAAATTACACAACATTTCAATTCAACCACTTTTGTCCCAGGCAGACCCTCTGTCTTTCATTTCATCAATTTTCTATCCATAATAAGCTGGTAAATTTGTACAAGAAATCGTCCATCCTTACAGTTTAAAGTAATAATTTGTCGTGTTTATTTTGCTCTTAGTTTCTCATACAATTACAAAAAATTATTCAAATTCATAAAAATTCCTATAAAAGTATCATATTTTTTTATTTTATTATTTTATTCGGATAAATTACTTTACGGAAAAGTCTCAACTCCCCACAACCAGGAACCTGGTAAATTATAAATTATATATATGTGATTCTGTTAAATACAAATTCTGGCGATAAAGTTCACCAAAAAATTCACAATTTTCAAAAAAACAATATATTTACCAATCTTATCAAGGCCATACCACAAAAAATCTCATCTTTACCAACAAATTACGCAACATTTCAATCCAACCACTTCTGTCCCTGGCAGACCCTCTGTCTCATTTCATCAGCTTTTCCTCCATGATAAGCTGGTAAATCTGCATAACAAATCCATGCTTCCGCCTTAAAGTCATAATTTCACGTATTTATTTCACTCTTAATTTCTCGATCCAAAAATAATTCAAATTCATAAAAATTCTGGTCAAAACATCATATTTTTAATATATTTAAAAAAATTTTATCGGATAAATTATTTATCTAAAAATCCACACTATTCCCGTTTGGAATCTAATAAATACAAATTACGTATATGTAATTCTGTAAAATACAAATTATGGCGACAAAGTCCACCAAACAAATTTACAATTTCCTAAAAAAACATCAAGGCCATCCCACAAAAATCTCATCTTTACCAAAAAAAATTACACAACCTAGTATCAATCCAACCACTGTCTTCTGTCCCTGGCAGACCCTCTGTCTCTCATTTCATCAACTTTTCCCCAACAAAAAGGCACCCTGCAGGGTCGGGTGGAGTACTTATTGTACCTTCATCCATCCCTACTCTACGGAAGATGGTATCCCACTGCCTCCCACACAAAAACAAAGTCAATCACTTCAAAATATCACCTCTTAAATAAAAGGAAAAGTTCATGAAATTCACTAATTTACTATGTACAAAATTGTGTAATAACACGTCTCATTTCCGATTCTTTTACACAAAATCCTCACCTCACGAGTCTACCACATTCATTCTTCGTCTACCTAATTGTTCCTGCAATTATGCAATCACAATTAAATCCATCCAACACATCACATCACTCAGGCTGAAAGTGTTCCCTGTTTAATTGAACAAAACGATTCAATTCTTCCCCTCCAAAAAAAAACAAAAAAATCGTCCCCATCTTACCCAACAATTTATACACAAAAATCCAACCCAATTGTCCATCTACACTTTATTTATCTCCACTTGAAATTGATTTCTCTGCGCAAATTTCCATTTCTAATTTGTATGAGAATGGGAACCCCCAAAAAGTCTGACGATTAATTGAAACGACGCAAAGATTTCTCTTGTTTTCAAATTCTATTCATTTTCTGTGTCACTAAAAATAAAATACAGTAAAATAAAGCCATTCTTTGCCCCCATTTCAACAACGCCTACACGTTTTTTCAGCTACACACACAATCCACCACCATCGACGACAAGATCTCGGTTTCCGTATTGCCGAGTTCACCCAAAAAAGTCACCAAATATTGAGCAATCATCGCTACACATATTTGCCATCTCCCAATGTCGCAATTTAAATTGGTGGGATTAATTACTAACGAAGAACAACCCCCGTTAATTTAACTGCGAAGAATAATGGGGTGGCGGTGGCCTATGCACTTGATTTGTGCATGTACTTGGATTGCAAATAAACAGGGGCGAGTATAAATACGGGATCGATTCTGTGTAAAAAATATCACTTTCATTCAGTCCTCATCCGTTCAACAGCTTTGCAAAAGAAAGAAAAAACAATGAACAAAACGGTAAGTTTTTTTGAAGGCATAAATCCGAAATTGGGAAAATTCAGTTTCAAAATCCTTCAAATTCAAATTTTGGAAATTTTCATACTTTAGATCCTCTCCATTTTCGTGGTGCTTGTCGCCATCGCGGTTGTCCATGCTGGCAACGAGGTGACCAAAACGGTCGAATTTACCCCACCGGCGAGCATCGTGGAGGGTTTGAAGCGTCTCAAGAGAGGGTAAATTAATTGATTAATTAATTAATTAATAATTAACTAATTAATGAAACTAATTAATTAACTAATTAATGCAGATATGGCGGAGGTGGTGGAGGTGGACACGGACACGGACCTGGTTCCGGGGGTGGTGCCGCTGGCCCCGTTTACATCGTAAGTTTCCTAAAAAAAATCATTTCCTAAATTTCCTAAAATTTCAGAAAATTTAAATTTTTTTATTCAAATTTCCAGTGTGGTTACATCGGTAGCAAGGAAGGCTATGGTGGAGGATATGGACGTTAAGTCTCCAAAATAGCAACCAATATTTTCGGTGACGACCAAAGAACTGTCAAAAATCGGACCTCCACAACATTAATCCTCATCATACCGACCTCAATCTCAATTGAAAAACAAAAACCTCAGTCATATTTTTGTCTCATAATTAATTTACGTGACAAAATTTAGTCATTTTATCCGTCACGATACATACAATTCGTTAAAACAAAAAACCAAAGCATTTGTTGAATAATTTTTATTGTAGGAAGAAAAAAATAAGGTTTAGAAATAATTGTTGAAATATTTCGATTAATGGATGAATAAAATTATGCAAATAATGAATTAAACTAATTTGACATGAGTTGTTATAATATTTACTAAAATGGCATCTAATAAAGCTTCTAAAATTACATTTTTGATATTTCTTTATAGAGACAAGTGCAATATGGCATATTATTTCGCACATTATTTTTTGCAAATTTTCTTTGCAAGCATATTTGAGACAAAAGTGTAAATAATTTAATTTACAAAATTTCAACAAACGATCAACAAACAAGTCGTGTTATAAATGTTATTGTTGCAAAAATTTGCAAAACATTCAACAAAAGCTTGCCAAAATTCAGAATGTTTTTCTCATTACCAAATTAAAGACAAAATGTACGGGATATTAATTCAAAATTTATCTTGGCAAATTACGAAAATTACGGGATGCATTTATTAATTGTTGCACTTTTATCAACAATAGCAAGAAATTTCTTTACAACATTTGGTAATAAAACCAATTTTCCATATTGTATTTTATTTTATTACCGCTAGTGAATCAATGCAAAGTAAATTTTTTCTAAATTCTGAGTCTCCTTCAACCCATTATTTTCAAATCACTAAAATGTATCAAGTCGCCAAAATTTATCCAATCAAAAGTTGAAACTGAGGAGATTTGTTATTTTAATTGGTACACTTTTGGCTTGAAATTCACGTAAGCTAACGTAATTTCTTGACAAGAAGTCCAATACTTAAACATTTAAAGTTTCGTATGCATATACATAATAAACTTGACCTTTCAATGCAACTTTATCTGCAAGTCATTTATATTAAACATTTTATTTAGAAATTATTAACTGACATATGGAAAGCGCGACTAATTAGACTAACAATGGAGGTCTGCCAGCGTATGATTTTGGTCAAATTAGTGTAAAACGAGAACAAATTTAATTACTATACAATTTGCAAATTGCAGAATATTTGCCAATGCGTAAATTTTTACAGAGATATTTGCATCGAAAGAGGAGGAAATGTCCTAAATTTTACCCTTTCCAAATTTACTATGCCTTTTCTCCTCTTTCGATGCAAATATCTCTGCCAAACCTGCGCATTGCCAAATAGCGTAATTTGCAAATTTCATACTGGTTCAATTTGTGACCGTCTTACACAAGTTGAGCGAGTCCGCCGTTATGGTTTGATGTCAGTTAAGAATTTCTAAATAAAGTGGTTAATATTAAAGTAGCTTGCAGATAAGATTATCCAGGATAAGTTAAAATTTCCACTAATGACTAATTGACTTTGTGATAGTTTTACACTAATTTGGTCAAAATCAGGGAGCATACGCTGACAGACCTTCATTGTACGAAAAAATGTTTTTTTTCAAAAATTTGATATAATTTTATATTTTATTATTTTTAACTCTGGGCATCATTAAAATTATTGCGATTCAATCTAAAAAAATCCATGGCCCTAAAAGTAACCAATATTTATGAAACAATGTGCAAAAAAATGAAAAAGTTGAATATTTCGAAATGACTTCAAGTTTTACTAAATTTTTGACTTCAGCTTTATTTGTTTCACGATTAATATTTTCATTAAAACATGACTTTTCTCTTTATTCATTAAAAAATAACTTAATGGGATCAAATTAATAGTCTGAATCGTAATTTGACCCGTCTTCTGCCGCAGCCATGTCCTGCTTTAGCTGCATAAATGCCCTGTAAAGCTCCTGCTTATCGACTCCCAGTGCATTGGTGAGGTCAGGGCTGCTTCGGTGGTAAGAACTTTCTCCGTGGTGGTAATCTGTTATATTCAGTTAAGAATTAAATATGTGAACTTTGCAAACTTTTAATTTTCGAAATTTATACAAATTCTGAAAATTGCTGATGTTGACATGACAGAAACCGTCCCCATTTTCGCACACATACATCGATTCAATCCATATCTAATAATTTTTACAGAGTTTACAAAACTTGACGTGAATAAGCAATCTTTACAAAAGTACATTAAGAACTAATCCCGTCTACAAAATACGGATCGATTACTCTTCACTAAGGCAATTCACGCAACTTGTAAAATCTGTAATTTTTTCTAAAATACTTATTACAAACTTTAACAAAATAAATAGACGCCCTTGATCTGAGCAAATTTACAAAAAATTGTAACCAATTTATCGTCAGAAATATTTGTAAAATTTTGTAAACATTTGCAAGTTTACAGAATTTAGAAATGTTGTCTCGCTGATTTTTTCCCCAAATATTACAAGATTATTTAATTCACCAAATTTAAAAAAAATCTCAACTTTTCAATTTTTCCCCTTATCACAATCCCTCCCCCCAAAATTACACACTTTTTCCTCCCAAATTCCACCACACCCACCTTGTTGATTCGTCGCACTAAATTTGCTCCCCCTCTCGTCATAGTATTCGCTATCATCCCCTCCTGCACCGATACTAGCTTCCAACCTTTGCATCTCTGCAAGGGCCAAAATTTCGTGCAAGCTCGAGTTTAAATCGTCCCCTGCAATCCCGAGCTGTCCTTGGACACCAGAAATGGCCACGTAAAACAGGGCAAACATTACGAATTTTAACGACATTTCAAAAAAAAATTAAAAATCAGTCGAATGCGGAAGCTGCAAAAAAACTAGCTAAAATCCCGTCTGGCTGAGGTAGGAAAGTGTGCAAGACAAAGAAGACGACACTCTTTTTATAGACTTTAAAACATCCTAGTTTACAGTCCAATTAGTCTGAAGAATGCGAAACTGAATGAATGTGAGTGTATGTGTGTGGTATCGGAAATGCATCCATTTTATCTAATTTAATTGTTAATTAATTGTTAAAGACGAGATTACGGAAAAGCCAGAGGTTTATGTATGCAATGAGGATGCAAATTTTTGGCGTTTGTTTAATTGGGCCAAAAACGTGTCTTGTTTAAGAAATCGAGTGATGAGATGGTGGGTTTTATAAGAGGAAATGTTTTTATAAATATGTAAGAGTACTGTAGGAGGATGTATACAAAGTTTTTGTAGAGTTTACAAGGCAGGTATGCATGTAAATGAAGATTTGTCAACATTGTATTTTTTAAGATGGTTTTAATATATGAATGAATATTACGATTTCACGCGAATATTTGTAATCCAGTAAACTGTCCAAAGTTTGAAAACTAGGAACTAAATAAATAAATAAACAGACGCCCTGAGTTTTTGTGCGGTTCGACGTATGAATTAATTATACTTCTTAATTTTTGTAAGCAATTAATTAAATTAACGAGGAAATGTTTTTCTAAATAAATATGTAAGAGTTTGAAGCTTTATGCAAAGTTTTTGTGCAGTTTACGAAGCAAGAGGTAAGCACAGATTTGTCAATATTGCATCTTTAAGGATACTTTTAGTATGAACGAATATTAAGACAGATAGATTTTACGTGGATATTTGTAATCCAGTAAATGTGAAAACTGCGACTAAATGAGTAGAGAGACCTTTTTTGTATGGTTCGATTTACATATGTATTTCTTACTTCGTAATTTGTGTAAGCAATTCATAATTAAAGAGGAAACGTTTTCCAAAATATGTAAGAGTTTGAGGATGTATGCAAAATTTTTGGGTAGGTTACCAAGTCAAAGGTGAATGCAGGTTTGTCAATATTGCATCTTTAATAAGAGTATTTTTAGTATGAATGAATATTAAGAAGATTGATTTTACATGGATATTTGTAATCCAGTAAATTTGAAACTGGGACCAAATAGCTAAACGGACGCTTTGGATTTTCTGTACGGTTCAATTTATGAATTTATTCCTTCGTAATTTTTCGTAAGCAATTCATTAAAAACGAAATGGTTTTCTAAATGTGTAAGAGGTTGAGGACGTATGCAAAGTTTTTGGATAGTTTACGAATTCATAGGTAAATATAGATTAGCCAATATTGAAGCTCTAAGAGTAATTTTAGTATGAATGATTATTAGGAAGATAGAATTCACGCGAGTATTTGAAATCCTGTAAACTGGGCAAGTTTGAAAACTGGGGACTAAATAAATTAACAGACGCCTACAATTTTTTGCAAGGTCGATTTATTTATTCCTTTTGTAAGCAATCCGTTAAATTGTAATTTGTAAAGCTTAAGTAATAAATATCGGAAATATTTATCTGTAATACCGGATTTTGACATGTTATCGTTTTAACAACAATAAAATATGAAAGGGGAATATGTAACTGATCATAATTTAATACTCTTCCCGACCAAAATAAATGTTTTTTTTACAGAAATTCTTTTACTCATAATAAAGTATTTCGTTGCCTATAAGGACTCGATTTTCTCAGAAATGAATAAACATTCAGATCACTTTAATTAAAATATGAAATTGTATTAATTTCTTGAAAGGGGATTTTTTTCTGGGTCCATGTAATTTTATTAGCATAAATTTTATCAGGCTGAAAGATTTGGTAATTGGTTGATGCCATTTGAGAATTTGACAAAAATATGCCATAACCGAGTAACTCGCAGGTCGATTTTTCTCCTTGAAATAATATTGTTAAATGATTGACTCTTTGGTCAAGAAATTTTCTGATATTTCTGATATAAATATTTTAGAATAATTTTAAAAATTTTATAGCAAACATGTATCGACTAAAAAAGAATTACACTTTTAATTTGTATCTTTGTAAATTTTGTTAACTTGGAAAAATCGCATTTTACAATATGATGTGATCCTAGTTTAAAATTTTGGAGAAATTTATAATCTTATGCATCAGTTGTAGATCACTAGGTTTGTATGCTTACAAAGTTAGTGCTGATGATTTTTTGTACGGTTTGACTAATAAATTTATTTATTACGTCGTAATTTTGGTAGAAAATTCTTGAAATTGCAAATTGGTAAAGTTTAAGTTATATATGTGTGTCGGAAATATTTGTCCGCAAGCTGTTGGATTTTGAAGATGTGTGCTCAAAAATTGTAGACAAACAATAATTAATTCTTGTATAGATATTAATAAGTCGCAATTTATTCCAAAGTAATTTTGGTTAATCACTAAATGTAATTATTTTTAGGGTTCTTCTTATTTGAACAAAGATGTACAGTAAAAAATTGTTTGTCAACCTTTTTTTACCGATTTTACTTGACGTGCATCATTTTTGAAATAGTAAAAGGTATGACTTTTACAGAATTTCTGAATGCGTACATGCTCGGTTTAACAGTCAAACATTAACGACTCGAGAAATCATAGCTGTTATCATAAGCTTTGACTTGATGCCAGATAAGAATTTTTTGAAAAAGTCGTAGTTGCATGTTTAGTTTTAGATACAAACCTTTGATGTGATGGGCAGATTGACAAAAGTGTTAGTCAATCTATAATTTCTGCTTCCGAGCGTATTTTTTACCTAGAAATTCTGTCTGATACTATTAATCACATGAAAAATAATCAAATATGAAATGTCTGGACGCAATGTGTTATTAATCTAATAGCAAATTTTAGCTACATCCTTAAAAATTTGTTTGTAATGATTAGCTACCAGTCAAAAATTAAAAAAAAATCCGTAGTATTAAAATTACTTAAGATTAACAAGTATTGGTTATTTTCACGATATCTTCTCACAATAAATTTTACGAAAAAATTGTATCTACGTGGGTGTTTTATTATTAATTTTCAAAAGGTATGTTCCGCACTGTTTCTGACCAAACTTTTGATGAAATAACAAACTTCAAATACTTTTAGGATGCTGTGATTTTTTTCAGTTCTGTAGGTTAACATTAACACTAGCAATAACTCATTAAAATTTACCTCGAAAATATGCCAAAATTTACGACTTGATTTCATTATCATCCGAAAACCGTTTTCCCCTGATGTTTTTCTTTAAGTTTCGAAACGAATAATAATCACTAAGGGACAAGTCTGGACTGCACGGGGCGTGGTTTGTGCAGGTAAAGCGATTTTCGTCTGCACTAACCCTCGCAAAAAGCCAGGTATTAGGTGGCGCGTTGTCGTCTAAAAAAAGGCCAACTCTTTATTTTGACCCCACGTTTCTTTTCAACCGGAGGACGCAGCTCCTTCGGGGTTCCTGCATACACGGCCCCATTTATTGCAGTATTTCCAGCAATAAATTTTATAAGGAGGGGACCTCTGGTATCCTTGAAAATGGTCATCATCAATTTTTTTGTCAGATTTTTGCACTTTTCAATTCACGGGCGGTGGCAACCCCTCGTGCTTCCAATGAGGGAATTATTATTTGGTCACCGGGTCATAATAGTAAACCCAAGTACCATATGCAGCCAATAAAATATTGAGCAGGTTCCAGTTTTCATTTAATAGGTTAAAATTTGCATTGCAAAAGTCGACTCGATCCTGTTTGTGAGATGCCGAAAGCAATTTTGGTACCCAACGGACGGAAACCATTTTCATACCTAAGTCTTCAGTTAACATGGAACAAATTGCTGGTTTTGGAACACCCATCTCATCTGCTATATAGGACAGTTTCAATCGCGGATCTCTCATTATTGGTTCCTCTAGTTTCCGGAGCCTTTCTGTGGAAGAAGCGGATTTTGAGCGTCGTTGCGACTTTTTGCCCGAGACCTCGTTTCGCCATAATTAAAAATTATTGACCCAATTGAATTTGTGTTTCGTGTTGGGCAGTTTTCATTGTACATTTTAAGCATTCAACCATAAATCTGCGACACGTATTGCCTATCCAGCATTAAAAATTAAATCACACTACGATATTTAATTTGCAAATCTAGCATTTTTTCCGTCTAGGTAAAGTTTGCCAATTTATTGCTAGTGTTGACGTTAACCTTAAGAACTGAAAAAAATCACAGCCTCCTAAATGTATTTGAAGTTTGTTATTTCATCACAATTTTGGTCAGAAACAGTGCGGAACATACCTTTTGAAAATTAATAATAAAACACCTACGTATTTTTGGATTTTTTAACAGATATTGCTTGACATGAAGCATCTTTGGAAATACTAAAAGAGTTGAGTTTTTATGGAAATTTTAAATTACACACATGTTTAACTTAACAAAGTCAAATTTTAACGACTCAAAAAATCCTGCTTGAAGTTATGGTTTGATGCCAGTCGAGAGTTTTGGAAAAATTTTAAAACTTTAATGAAACAGGTCGCAGATTTGTCTTTTTTCTGTCCGACAACATATTTTTGTAGCTTACAGAAAAAGGATTTTGTGCTATGATTTGATGCCAATTGAGAATTTTAAATAAAACATCAAATCAAAATGTACATTACAGATTTCCAAATTTTTAGACGAAATAAAAAATAATTCGTGAAAATGCTTATTTTTCTACGAGTTTTGATATTTAAAATTTTTTTTCATGGTGAAACCGTTTTAAATAATAGAAGAAATTGTATGCAATTTTTAATTCAACGATTTCCTTGTAAAATAATAAATACATTTTTAACAACTTTAAACAAATCCGAGTTTATCCTATATTTCACGCCGATTAAGAATTATGACAAGATTTGTAGTAAATTAGATAGCTTAAGGTTTCAGGCCGAATTGATAGGGTCTCTTTTTGTTTGTAATTATTAATATGAATTAATTATGAGAAGGGGTTAGGAAGCGCTTATTTCTATTTCGCAGAGTTTTTCTTTGAAGAAATTACCTGAAATGATATCGTTTTAATAATAATAAAATATGAAATTGTAGTAATTTTTAGAAAAGCGGTTTGGTTGGTGTATGTAATTAAAT